CCATGGGTGTGATTGGCTGTTTTTGTGTGTTTTCACACCTCCTAGGATACTTGTGTTGGAACTGATTGATTCTTTGACTTGAGCTTCTTGCATTTGTTATTATGCAAGGAGTCAAATGGATGGAGTACCTTTGAAAGCGTTTAATTTTCCATTCTGTATGATTATTGTCTTTCGGAATAAGGCGGTTATTTATATTATACATTACGAAGGTGAGCCAATAATTGGTGAACCTAGATTCACGTTTTCATGCGGATCGCTAACTTTCCCACATTTAACTGTCAGCAAATGTGAGTCAAACGTTTTATAGAGTCATTAACTCTATAAAAAAAGTAAAACATTTATATTCACATATTGAAAATGTTCCATTCATTTCACAGCAGATGGCACTATGGTCTGTGGTTATCGCTTTAGTGTGCTGCGAAATCATTGAATCGCAGTGTTCGATTTTAATCAGCCTCCTTGTTGTCGAAGACTTGTGTTACTATGGTTTTCTGCATCTTAACTACAAGATTCAAACTAGCAGTGAGGACAGTTATGATTTCCCTTACGATTGTGTGTTCGATAATTGGCGCAGTTTTGTTTTTTTCGGGAGGAGATATGTAAGTAGGATTAAAATGTGAAGTGACCCTCTGTATATTAACATGAATTTGTGTAGTGAGAAGAAATATCAATTCAATAAGACTATTACTCACACACGCCTTCAGTTATTTACTTGAGTACACCTTATTGAAGCCAACTATTCATAAACTGACACAAAAGAGGAAATCGAGTGTAGAGTACCCTTCTAGAAAGTCAATAACCACAGAACATTCAGCAATCTACGAAACAACATTTCACTTATTTGATATACAGCTCTTTGATAATGTGAAAGCATTTTATTGCATAATGGTATGAAACGTTAAGCTGAAATTCTAGGTTGAAGAACAGACACATTTCAATACTCTACACTTGATTTCAACGCATTGTCAAAATTGTTCAAATTTCTGGCCTTGTTTATACAGTATTTGTAGTTTTTTTCATTTGACTATGGTTTGAATCTGATCATATTCGTCTTACACAATTCTCCATTTACATCGAATCAGGTATCAGGTACATCTGCAAGAAACTACTGACTAATGTAATGTTGGATGACTTAGTGTAAAAACTCTACAATACTTCGTCTCGCACACATCCTATGGAGTGTGAGAAGGGTAAATCAAGATACTACTATATTATCGTGAAACACTAAGTAAACGGTCCCCTTTGTTCTTTATTTAATTGTCGCAATGTTGCTGATATTTAATCATACTTTAGTATTCGTGTTGCTATATAACAACATTTTCAATGTAAATGCCGTGTTTATTTATTATCGATGCAATAAGTAATGAGGAAATTAGGTGCAATATTCTAAAATTCTGAAAACTACATATTTGTACCAAAATGCAGCTCATAGTAAAATTATTACTGTTATTATAGTCATATGGAGAAATAATGAGAGACTGATGACGCATGCATTGCTCACAAATATTTCCACGCAATTATTTCAAATTCTCTCATTGCCTTATTTTACAGCGCACCGAGTGTAACCTTATGCTTGAAGCCGCTCAATAAGGTTTTCGTAGTGCTGCTGTTTCCACAGGATGAGGTTAGAATGGACAAGTTGATTCGAAAACGCCTCCAAGACGACATATCCACGATATTCTTACTAATTTAGAGGTCTTAACTAACTCTGTAACTGCTACACACTTTTCCACTACAATATGTACCAGTAATTTCGATATGATAGAGAAGATTTGTAGCTCAGGTGGATGATTTTGATGTGGTTTTGTTCTCTGAGCTGGATGGTTAGTTTGCGAAGCTTTCATCACCTTACTGGGTGACATCTTCAGCGCATACTTCAATTTGAAGTCAAAACACCAGTAATTTCACATTGACATAACGCATGCGTTGTTTTTGACTTTAGGGCTTTGTTTGTTAGTTAAAATTTTTATAGTTCCATGTACATTGTCGACGAGTTGTTTAACATTCTGGGCTACTTTGATTGAAAACAGGACATTCTGACCCGTGACTGTCTTCAGGAAGCTTTAAATTATTATTCTTGTGGACTGAGCTCTTATTACCAACCAGGTTTTGAATACCCTTCTGGATTTCATTGTAGCGTTAACAGTTGAACTATTTTTAATCATTTTTTCTTAAAGTGCTGGTTTGTGCTCAGAAACATGCATAGCCTGTATGGCTGCCTCACAGCACTGTTGAGGTAAATTTCAGTTTGATGTTATTGTTGTTTAATAGAACCGTTGGCAGTTTTACTAATAATCGTCTTTCTAATGAGTTTGAAAACTTCTGTGATTCCACGTGTCTCAACGACTTTTCGCCATCTGTACAGTAAAACGTAGAGTTGGATTTCTGCCATTCAAACCATAACGAATAAATTTAATTACTTCACACATATTTATAAATGTTTTAAGCAGAATGTGAATGTGACAAAAAATATCCCACTATGTACACGATAAAATAGTTCAGGAGGTGCATATATCTCGGAGTATTTCAGATATAATCAGAATAGTAAGCAATTCAAAAATTACACAACAAGATGCCAATTATGATAAGACAATGTTGCGAGAATTACACTGGCTAAATCAATCAGAGATAACAAGTGAGACTGTCGAACATTTCTGTGAGGTAAAATTAATAATAACAATAATCGATACAATAAGTGAAGTATATGCGAACGGAATAAAGTAAAAGGAAAATAAACATGTACAAAGTATGAATAATGATTATTATACCTTAGTATAGACACATTAGGACTATGAGAGGTATTCAATACTCTTTTTCTGTATAAAAAATTTAAACTGATGGTTCGGTGAATCGGATATTCAGTGACTGAGAGATTCCTCTTCTAACGATCTCGGCAGAAAAGTCAAAATTCACTTAATCAATGGAAATCAAAACTTGCTAATTAAACAGATTGTCGATGAATTCGTGGTAATGACACTCTTCACTGCTCCATTTCTATTCATTTGAACTCACTAGAATTAGGATGCATTCACTTTGATTTAGGTATGTGATTTCACATTGATGTACTGACATAAATGTAATGAGAATCAACAGATTTGTGCTTTTCATTAGTGGTCAACAAAATGTGAATTCGTTGTATGAAATGACCATCCACTTTGAACATCTACTGACATTTTGATTGCTTAAGTAAAATAAAATGACTAATATAATTGACGTTATGTAATTGACTGAGTTTAGTGGTACTCAACTGAAATCGGATGACGATCAAGTTAATATTAGTGGTATGAAGTAGACAGGGATTTTATGCGTGTTGATGTAATAAAATATTAACATAATGTGGAAAACAAAGCATACGTATTCGATTTGATGTAGACCAGGTACACTTTAGACTTAATGAATGAAAAAATGTCTTTTTTATTTGAAGTTCAGGAAATAACAAGTGATTCTTTATCAATACTTTGGTTTCAAGAAGTTTGATCCGTGCGTGTTTAGCGTTTTGTATTCAAAATTATCGTTGAACCTTCACTTCGCCTTATAAGGAACTGAGAAAGAATTCCTCCTTCCAAAATTCTATTCTGCAATACCTGATAGAATCTGGGCACAAACCTCACCTTTAAATAATCGCTGAAAATAACCACAGACTATGTTGAAATCTCGCTCTAGCAGTATGAATTAAACGTCTTCAGACCGCAGAAGCAAATACGATTCATTTATTATATTCTGAATGCTAAATAACAAAGAAATATTTTCTGTCATAAAATGTATAGTGAACCTGGTACCACTTTATTCCCTCACCTAATCTCTCTCTCCCTATAACAATCGTTATTAACGTAACTGTCGTTCAGTTGCGTTCGAATTCCATTCAACCTAGATAATTATATCACGTCACTCAACTTAATCATTAGATTTTTAAGTTTCTAACCGAGTAACGCTTTCGATAATACGACAATTTACATCTGAAATTAATCATTTTTATGATGCGTTTTGGAAATATTCCTTCAGTTGCTGACAATATTTACTATACATATGCGATTGCACAGCTTGAGAATGATATCGCCTCAAAGCGTCACCCTCCACAGAATACTGTTTTATTATTTCGGCCTACCAATTTATCGCATATGATAGGTGAATATGTTATTGTGTTTCTGAAGGGGGAGTTCATCTAATAAAAAAACGTTTATCTTGTGTGGAAACCGAACACCTCAAAATATGTATCTTCTTCGCGTATTCATTCTCAACAGCTATGCAATCGTATTTATATGCACAAGTTTGCATGGTTGCACTTATTATTTAGTTCGACTTATGAACTGCAGCTATGATGATTTTATACGAAAGTTTGAGGTGTGAATATGAACCACAAATTAATGCAAAGAAAATTATATAGAATGACGACATAGCCAAGAGAAATGTCAAATAATTTTGTTTAATGTGTTCAAGTGTAAATATAATCAACACAGAAGCAGATTGATCACACAGGGACAGCAGTGTCTGTAACTGAAGTGAACAAGCTAAAGGGAGTGAAAAAAAAAACAAATGAATGAATATAAGGAGTGGAACAGAACTACATTGTGAATTTTCCATTGTTTGTTTCCTCACAGACTTTATTTTCCTCATCATTTGTTGTGAAAACTATTATTTTGATTTGTTGCTCGTGTTGCACAGCTCGTGATGTGACATATTTTACATCCAGTAATCTTTTGATGAGTTTTAACATTTCCAAGATACTTGTCCATTCGAGACGTCGTGGGAAGTTCTAACGGCTCATTCCTACGCAGATTTCATTAAATCACTTTGAAATATTCAATACAATCGACTAAATGCCACAACATACCTAACTTCACCGCATAACCTTCAAAGAGTGCAGAAATGACGCTATTTTGTTTTATTCTAGCGGATAGTAAACGGATTGACAGATCTGAAGACAATCATCCAACAAACACACACTATAAAAAATACACTACATTGTTCTTTGAACTCAACACGTTTCATGGCGGTTAAAAGTTAATTGTTTTCAGTCTTGAATAAAAAGACGACGAATTTTTTGATTGTTAAAAATCTTTTAAGTCGAATGAAGCCGTTTGTAAGGATAAACAAAACACTTCATCATCAGTGCAAAACAAATATGAATCAAAGTTTAAAAAAATGAGATGGATTTATTTACACATGAGTTGAGCATTTCTGTAAGTGAGTGCTGTAACGTCAATAGTTAGATGGCTATTTATTCTCAGGTGAGTAGTTCAGGTTTTTATCATTTGTCGTTGTTTTCACTTACATATCAAAAACACTTTTGTCGTGGGAACTTTTGCCTTGAATCTCATGACTCCACGGTTTACGAGGTCTGAAACTTTATATCAATAATCAACAGTTTTATCATTAAGGTGTTGCTGTTAATGACAATATGTTTCTTCATGGATTTCTAATTTCCATTTATTTTGTTCACCCAGTCTGTATCAGGTTATTATACATCCTGCAACATGACCTGCATTGTCCACAAAACAAGAGGTAATTAATCCTCCGTTGCTAAATAACATTCTGATTGTGTTCTAAACGTGACTTACTTGAAACAGAAGCCCATATGTAGTAAATTTGAATATTAAGTTCACGCACTAAGTGTTGAAATTCTCATGCAATCATCACAACCTTTGATGGCATCGCTTACATCTCTGAACAATCTCTGTGCCTGAAATATTCATGCTGACAGGTCAAACGTGACGACTAATTGGTTGGTCACAGTTTAATGTACCTCAAATTTTTCACCACCCAGTAAAAATTTGCATAAGTCTCCTTAATTGTGTTTATGGTAGATTAAATGCTAATGGTGTCATAACTTTTAATACATATTTTATTATGATTTTTTTTGTTTAGTTCGGCAAAACATTTCCTCTAGGATGGCAGGGATATATAGCGATCGCTGGCGCGTAAGTGTTGCTATCCGCAACCTTTAAAATAAACATTATTAGCGGTATATGATTTTAAATATGTGTATGTGAACTAGGGTTTTTAATCTGAAGAATCAAACTAATAAATTTTGACAGCATTATATTCATGGATTAAAGCTTATTACTGACCTTATTGATGGAGGAGAACTGATATATCCTAGTAGTTAAGTATTCTTGATTCTAGTGTAATATTTACCGTCTTCGAGTTTCATGGAAAATGATATCGCATTACTGTGACACAGACAACATAGAAAAAATAGGGCCCAGATACCTTCTAGAGAATATCTTAAGCTTCAAGTTAAACGTATAGTGGGAATCTGCAATTCTGAATGTTTATGTATGCCCCTTACTATCCCTTTCCTTGTGTTTGATTATTTTGAGTGTGTTCTCATGATTTTACACAAACAGTTTTCCTCAGTCTTCTAATGGGTATGACTAGACACATAATGAACAACTCAGACAACTCAGACTAGACTTTTGATTTAAAGATACTCAATACAGTGTCAAAAAGCGAACATCCTTGGGGAAAAGTGTAGAACATTCCAGCAGTATCCCGTAATCGAGTTCGTCTCAACTTCAAAGTTTCATTGGAGGGATAAACTAAAAACCAGCCCATCAGTAGTGAAATCTTACGAGTGTGTGAGGAATATCTTCACAAACTTTCAGGACATGTGTAGTTTTCTGCTATCTTTATAGTAAACAAATCCCAAAGCAAAACGTTGAAGCTATTAAGGATTGATGAACATTTAGCTGAGACGGTGTGAGTTATTATTTATGTTTCAAACTGCATCCAGTTATTAACGCTCTTTTCTGTGTGATAACAAAATGTGATATACAACCACATATCATCAGGGTATCGAATGATTATACATGAATAATTTTTTGGATTTCGGAACTCAATAAAGCTTTTTCCTATTTTGATTTTAGTGTGCTGATTTTGGTCCTCTGTATATTACTATTCTTCAAAATCAAGTATAATGTGATAATCGGGTTGATCATGACAGGAATAATAGTAAGTTTATCAGAGTATGGTGTTCATCACTTGATTTCTTTTACACAAGATCACTCCGTGTTTGTTGTGTGATTCAGTCGGAAATAGATAGAAGTTAGACAAGCAACAAATGAAAACGAAATAAGTTTTGAAGAATTCATATAATCTAATTAGAATTACAAACTCAATATTATTGACAATGTTATTAGTGATAGTAACAAGAATATTGAAACGAGTTAACTTATTGGCAGTGATTGAGTATAGTTTTCAAGGAATCAGGCATATAATTAATGCACTTGAATATAATGAAAAAAAGAATATTAACACTAACAGCTGTACGTAAGTCAGATTGATCACCGTTCCCTTTCGCATACAGATAGTGAGTCTGTAAACCATAATTTCATAAGCACACCGCTCTGTCGCAAGCAACTTCCTCTGTATTTGTCTGCTGAAAACCGTGAATGACTTGACAGTATCAGTTCACATCACTAGTCTACATGATGCTTTGTCACTGAAAATTTCGGTACTCTGATTTCCACTGCTCTAAACTAATATGTCAAATGCTCCGTTATTCGACTGTTCAATCACATTTTCAGACGACTTATGTGTTTGTTACCACAAACGCACTCAAAATGAAAGATGCATTGTCCAGGATTGGTGGATGGACGTTTTTAGATGCTTGAAATACCTTTCAGGTAATGTTAGTGAACACATTTTTGTAGTGTAATAGGTCCTTCCGGTGGCTCTACAAAATCTCTATTTGACTACATGCATCACCTCAACTCGTTCAGATGGAAGACTGACAAATACAGCTTTTTTCCTAAACTGTGTGGATAGTCTTACTGGAGCTGATTTATGTTTTATTTATGACCATCTCTGGCTATCCGTTTCTGCAAAAACGTACTTCAAAGTCTTTATTTCATATTCATTTGTACTATGATAACAAATTTTTCATTTCTAAATTAAACATTATTCCGATCGAGTTATTCTTATTTGGGTTAGCAATATTTTCTTCGCATATTGTGGCGAATTTCAGATTCTGAAATCTCCAACCACGTTTATCACTTTTCATCTGCTTAAAAAAATAAGAAAGAATACCAACCACCTTTCTTCGATATAATTCTGTTTATTGTATATGATGCCTCAAAATATTACAGTTTGGAACCTGAAGGATCTAACGAAAGTGTGTCTAATAGCGAAACACTTCATAGGAAAGACATTTTTAGTGCATTCAGTTTAACTTCCGTTTTCTACACGAACATTTTATAAAGCTCTCCGTAGAGGCTATTTACACTATAACTGGAATAATTTTAACAAAATTTCCAAAGCTGCCCATTAGTTGGGTTATAGTTTATTGCTGAAAATAATTTAATGACTTCTTTGTAGTATGTACCAAAGGATAAAGGCCATTAGACATGTACCTTCGGAATAAATTGCATAAATTGATTCTATCTGTTGTTTCAGGAATTATGATAGTGTCTCCAGTAGACCTGCTCTGCACAGACTGATGGTTTCTTCCTAGGCACCTGTGCCCACAAACGAATGTCAGCTGATAAACACAGTGAGATTCAACAACAGAGTTCTGATTCCATGTAGGTTCAGAAGACAATCAAAAATCTCGTTTTCTCACCTGCAAAGTGGGGAAGGATCAAAATCAGACACATTACACGCGTATCCTGCACGTAAATACGTGACTTTACCGATGTAACAACAGAAGACAAGGGCCAGGCAACAGATCGTTTTATTATGAAAATCAACACGTATTTATACATCTTTCAACTACATTATTATAGACAAGCGCAGTCATCTGATTGGTTGTTTAGGTAGACAAACGCAGGCTTCTGATTGGTTGTTTACTCAGCCTTGTTCACATCTTCTCACGGCCCACATTAGTGACCTAGACCTTAACGTAGATTAGTGCCAACCAATCGGCTAGCAGCCTGCTCTCACCACACTCGTCCCCCCGTCAAATACGTGCGACTGAAGTCGGCTTGATCTACTTGGTGCAGGCGTCATCGTTGGCTTGTCTCGCTGTATCCATTTCTGGAGCTCGCTGACGTTCACGCGCCTCTTATTGTTCGCCATTGCGACTGTGTCTGCGTAACCCCATCTCGAAGTGACCATATATGGTCCCTCCCACTTTGGAAACTGTTTGCCTGACCCTGTCGAACATTCGTCCATACTTCGGCTCACACTTTCATATGCTGCTTTCACCCGACCTCCCAGCAGCGTCCCAAGTAGCAGCTCCATCGCTGACAGATCTTGAACGCCACTCAACTGCGCAGAAGCCTTGAAGTCCTGCCCGAAGATCCATATGTCTCCATCGAAAACAGCAGGGCATAGGCTTTCCATTTGTCGGTAGGCAGCGACACCTAATGTAACAACAGAAGAAATGGGCCAGGCAACAGATCGTTTTATTATGAAAATCAACACGTATTTATACATCTTTCAACTACATTATTATAGACAAGCGCAGTCATCTGATTGGTTGTTTAGGTAGACAAACGCAGGCTTCTGATTGGTTGTTTACTCAGCCTTGTTCACATCTTCTCACGGCCCACATTAGTGACCTAGACCTTAACGTAGATTAGTGCCAACCAATCGGCTAGCAGCCTGCTCTCATCACACCGATACATGTTTCCTTTCATTGTTTTAGTTTTACACTGCTATTTAGAGCCAATAAGTGCGATATCGAGATCCAGGTATCCTTGCAGACTGCCAACACAACCACATGTAACTATAAGCATATGAGAGCCAAACTTTGAAGCTGTTTCACAGGAAATTCGATGTAGACATATATTTCATGAAAGATATTAGTGCATCAGTATTTATCTTTTAGAAATGTTCATTTTATTTTACCAACAGATTTTACTATGCTCTGCGATTACTTATTCTCAGTGTTGCAAAATGTCCCATTCAGACTGTTATGTTTTACTGGGTTTCATTATTCTGGAAGACTTACTAACCGTCATCTTCTGCATATTAACTAAAAGATTTAAACAAGTTGTGTTCATAGTTATGATTTCTTTATCGGTGGCTTTTGTTATAATTGGTGGGCTTTTGTTTTATTTCGGGAACAGTGATGTAAGTGAACTGAAATGTCCAATTGACTTTTACGTTTCAACATAAATTGCTGTATTAACTCGAATGATTTTAATTTGACTGCTACTCATATTCAATTTCAGTCATTTATTTACCTCTGTACTTATAATATCAAACATTTATGCTCTGACATTGAAGAAGATAGGAAGTAGGAGTACATTTCCACCAGTACACTCATCAATCTGCGAAACAGCATCTCACTTATTTGATACGCAAATATTTAGCGATGCCAGAACATTCTATTTCAAGATGTTAAGAAATGTTAAGCTGAAATTCGAATGAACATTAGTGTTTCAATACTCTCGGCTTCATTTTAGCTTCTTCTTGATGTTGTGTGGAGTTGTGCGTCATCTTGTACATACGCCCTTTATAGTTACGTCCTATTTGACAGAATTTATTTTATTACCTGATTAATATGATTTCAATTACGCGTTTTATCTGCTTTATTTTGTAATCAAAATTGTGAATGTATTTAACCTCATCGTATTTCAGGAAGTTAGGATTTCATTGGCCGGTGGCTTTTGGAACACTGCTTTAGATCTGGTAAGTACACACTTTTGATTTGAAGTATTTTGAATGGGCTTTAATTTCTTATTTGAGGAGAGAATTTATTTCAAAACATTAAGTAAAGTGTTTGTTGAAATGGATTCATAATTCCAGCAACTTTATCACAAATTCTGTAGCCATATTTCACGTAGATTTAACCGCTGACTTAATTCACAAACGTAATCACATGTTATTTTTCACTCATTAAATTAACAAACTTACATAAATGTAGTCGAATCTCTGCACATTTATGATGTATATTTTTATTTTATTTTTTGCAGGCAGCATTGTGTTTTGCTAGTTCTCTGAAATTTATTTCATATCAGTTGACTCCTCTGTATTATGTTGAGCAATTTCCACTGTAATTTGTGTTTTGTGCAAAAAAGAACTTCTCACTTTGCTAGAACGGGTAACCGTTTATATTTTCAGTCTTTGAAATAAATTATTTTGTGTTCGCTTGAACTTTCACTTGTGTATAACAACTTATTCAGAGGGTAAATATAAGTGTTTTACCAGATTTTGTTGACTTTCTCTTTGAGAGAATTTTAATCCTTGTTGATGTTTCTCACTATTATACGTCAACCTGTTCTAATGCAGAAACCATCCCTTGAATATGTGATTTAGTCTTAAAAGGAAAGCAACCGAATTTAGGTGGCCATTTAATCAGGTGATTCAACGTCAATGAGGAGTTCCGGAACATAGTCTATGTACTTGGATATACCATGTAACAATAATGGATCCTTCTTAAATTATATGACAGAAAATATTTGGTGATCACTTACTACTGAAAGTGTCAAGTTGTTGAGTAGTATGGCGTTGATTGGACGTTATAACTTCATGTTGCTTACTGATCTGTGAAACGTGACATCGTCTGTGCATCATCAATCATCTCCGCCACCTTCATTTCTCCTACTTCCTTGTGCTCGATAATGATCTATGTGCACTAATACCTGGGTCTGAAGAAAATTTGTGAAATTGTTGACTTTAACCCTGTCGTTATAAGTGATTTATCTTCAAGATGTTATCCCAACCACACTAAAGTATGAGCGATATGCTACGAGTGTCACTTATTTGTACATGACGTTTAACGTAGAAGAAATTCTATCACCTCAGTAATTTTGTTAGCTTCGTTTTCAACTATATGCTTATGCAGACTGATGAATTCTCAGTGTTCTCCATGGAATATTCTTCTTTATTCTTGTTTCATAAAAGCGCAACAGCAAGTGAGAAATCGAAAATGATGCCTGTAAATGATGGTAATTACATGAGGACCTAACTGGAATATATATAAAACACAGTGAAACCGGGTGAATTTCAAGCACCTTCCTCAGTACCACAAAAATAGCTCAGTGGTATAACGAAGTCACACAGAAGTAGATTTATGATAGATTTAGTTTAACATGCGCCAGTAACTCTGTTAATAAATAACAGTCCTTTCCCAGCTGCGAAACCAATATTGTAATGTAATGCAGACAGTGACAATGATTATTTTCGTGGAAATATTTGTTCTATTTCAAATAGTGTATAGATAGGCATTGCGATAATCGAGTGATTTATTTTTTTCAGCAAAGATGCATGTGGAAGGGACAGGCATAGACTATAATTAAAATATGGTTTTTTATAGAAGATGAAAAACTGTTAGGATGACGAAACAAATGTTTCTGACTCCTTAATTTTCCCTCACTGAAGTTTTTTTCATTCCTCAAAACTTTTTTATTCTCCAACTACAACAGCTGTTATTTCTGCGATCATCAATTCTGTACATATTTTGTACATCTACATTCATTCGACTGGTTTTCCAACCATTTACTTACCGTAAATTATTTTGTTTCCATGCTTCTTGTTGTCTGTATTTGACCATTTACGCTTCCATATTGAGTTGAAAATTATTGTCAAATGTAATATCCTTCAGTGCCATGTTGAATTAAGTAGTAATTGCAACCATGTTAACTGAGGCACATGTTTACGATTACATTACTGCTGAGAACAAAATCACCACGATATCTTTTTCGAGCTGTTCGATTCCTAATCTCCCTAAATGCTTTGGGACGAGAGAAAATCTCTCCATTATTATGCAAGGAGTGATATCACCTTCCTGTTGGGTAAATGAGAACGTGTAGTCTGCACACAAATGGCATAAGTTCTGAGTTGTTAACAACCCTTCCTGAAATTTCATGCCGAGTTCCCAAACATGTCAATGTTAGACACAAAATGCAATGACAACTTGACTAATAAGTTTGTATAATTCCATCAACCATAATAAAATGATTATCTCAACCACATTGCAAAATCCACCATGAATTAGAGAATATCCACAGAAATCTTCAAAAGTGGAGTACTTCTTTTCAGTTCAGAAATACTGAACGTCATAATCAGTTTTTTAGCATATACACATATATGATCATCAATCATATCTTTAGCTTCTGACAATCCATCTATTACAACGATTTATGTTAGGGAGGTGGATACTAGCCATTCTTCAAAAAAAATTCAAGAATCCTTCTCTAAGAAAAAGATCTCTCCTTATTCCACCTCAATGCAACAGACCATTCTACTGGATCTGAGCATCATAAATATGGATGAAAAACCCACCTCAATAAACAAGCGACATAAAACACGGTAACTGTAAATTCTGATTCACCAGTTACACAGGAGCATAGGAATTTGGATTTCTAGAAATGTTTTAAATTCGATGATAATCGTACCACAACATGAATTCACATAGTGGTGACCACTAATGAGAAATACCAATGTGTTAATTTTCACTCCATTGATGCCAGTAAATCAATGTGAAATCATGCAAGGTTATTTCAGAGTGAATGGTTCCCATTTTAGTGAGTTCAGATGAATTGAAATGAAGCAGTGAAAAGTTCCATTTCTACGAATTCATCAACAATCTGTGAAGTCGACTAGGTTTGATTTCTGTTGATACTGTTAATTGTGACTTAGCTGCTGAGATTCATAAAAGAGGCATCTCTTAATCCCTTAAAAGCAGACTCAGAGAAGCATCAGTTAGATTATTTTACTTACAAGGAGATTATTCTGCCTGCCCATATATCGTGGTCCTTGTGTGTCTATGGTTAGGTATGATGATCCTCATTCATACTTTAACATTTATTTCCCGATACGAATTTAAAACAAGCAATAAAGGTTAATAAAGCATCACCAGAAGCCTAATAAACATATTCCTCTTCATATCTGTTACCAACAGCTAGAGCTTCAGAAGATCTTAATTATAATTTACGCCTACCCTTCGAATTAATTTTATTTATCGTGGAAACTGGAATTTAATCACTGCTCGCTTTTCGACTATTACGCTACATTTTGGTCATAAATAAAATCTCTTATTACTCTAAAATTTTATGCAAAGTGTTTGCGGAAATTATCACAATTATTAACCTTTCGAACACTGAATCCAAAAAATACAATCTTATTGACAGATAATACACATAACTCACTGTTTGGATTTGTGGAATTTTTAAACATAAACACATCTATAATTGTATATATTGTTGGATTTATATGTTCAAGTTGCTCCAAGTCAGTGAGTTTATGGTTAAGATATCATTTTAGTTAACTGTACTGAACTATATTGCATGTTGTCCTATTTTATAGTTGTCGTCGCTTTTTGCCCTTTTTTCTGTGAACTGTTTCCTTTGTTGATGTTGTTCTCATTGTTTGTCCGTTATTTTCTGATTTTGAGGGGAGCAACCCAAAAAGTTGCTTCTCTCTAAACTTTTACTTAATGTAATCATTCTTTTCTCAGGCGTGAGGCTAGCAACCACACCCTGTAAACAAAGTTGCTACAGAACCTTCAGCAAAATGAACCTCTTTGCACCAAAAGAAAAAGTCTGTGTAGGAACATGGAACGTCCGAACTATGTACGAGACTGGAAAAGCTGCCCAGATCGCCAACGAGATGAAAAGATACGGAATACAAGTGCTGGGAATATGTGAGAGCAGATGGAATGGGAGTGGACTCACCAAATTGTCAACAGGTGAGTCAGTGATCTACTCCGGTCACCCAGAAGATAACCACACGCACACCGAGGGCGTGGCTATCATGATGTCACCAACGGCAACGAAAGCCCTGATACAATGGGAGGCGATTTCGTCCAGGATAATGACCGCCAGGTTCAACTCCAAAGGAAGGAAAGTGTCAATCATACAATGTTATGCACCCACAAACAACGCAGACCTCGAGAAGAAAGAAGAATTCTACAGGCAACTACAGGCAACAATGGACAATACTCCAGCTGGCGACATGAAAATACTAATGGGAGACATGAACGCCAAACTGGGACCAGACAATACGGGAAGGGAACTCATCATGGGTAGAGAAGCTCTAGGAGAAATGAATGAAAACGGAGAACTCTTCGCCGACTTCTGCGCCTTCAACGAACTGGTGATTGGTGGCAGTGTATACAAGCACAAAGATATCCACAAGGCTACATGGGTGTCACCAGACGGGCAAACCAAAAACCAAATCGACTTCATCTCAATCTCAAGGAAGTGGAGGCGCAGCCTACTGGACACAAAAGCAAGAAGAGGAGCAGACGTTGGCTCAGACCACTATCTCGTACAAGGGACAATCCAAATCAAATTAAAAGCTTTCAAAGAAGGAGGAGCTGCAGATAGACCACAAGCCAAGTTCAACACTCAAAAGCTGAAGGACCAGGCTACAAAGGACATCTTCATTGCAAGCATAAAGGACAAAGCCGAGACACAAATCAACACTAGCGAAGAGGTCGGCGTTGAAAAGCACTGGAACAACTTGAAAACGGTGTGGAGCCAAACCTGCATAGAAATTCTAGGCAGAAAAAAGAGACAGGACAAACAGTGGCTCACTACGGACACTTGGAAACTAATAGAAGAGAGAAGGACAGTGAAGCAAAAGATTATCCAGTGCACGACGAGCAACAAAAACAGGAGCTGAATGCAAGCTACAATACACTGAACAAAAGAGTGAAGAAAAGTGCCAGGGAAGACAAAAGAAAATATTATGAAACCATGGCAAACGAAGCAGAACAAGCTGCAGGCAAAGGAGACCTCGCCACACTCTACCAAACAACTAGGAACCTTTCGGGCAAACGTTCGACACAGATTAAGCCAATAAAGGACGACAATGGAAAGTCAATCACCAAAGAGGTGGAACAGAGAAAGCACTGGGTTGAACACTTCAAAAGACTTCTAAATCGTCCGCCACCTACAACACGTCCAGCAATACCAACAACGGAAGCAGAACTACCAGTGAACACTGACCCCCCGACGAAATCAGAAGTCCTGAATGCAATCAAGATGCTTAAAACTGGGAAAACACCGGGACCAGATGGAATCCCAGCAGAGGCTTTGAAAATAGACCCAGAGACAACAGCGGACTTGATGACACCACTACTGGAGAAGGTGTGGAAAGAGGGCAAAGTACCCGAGGATTGGAAGAACAGTTACTTATTCAAACTTCCAAAGAAAGGAGACTTAAGTCAATGTAAAAACTGGCGGGGAATTATGCTT